TGGTGTCAGTATAAGGTCGTTAGTGTCTGTAGGAAACACGTTAGGATCTGATTGGTTCAGTGAAGTGGTACGTGTTGGAGTGGGGTCCTGTATAGAAATCAGTGAACCATGAATTATTGTGGGTGGCACTGCTGCAGTCTGGATCTATGGGGCGCCCTGGGGGTGTCAAAGGGAATCATTCATATTGATGAGTCTTTATGGATTTTAGGGAGCCAGTTGAGTTGCCACAGCCTTGGGCCATGTAGCTAGTCTCTCTGTTTAGCTCTCTTTCAACATAACTTGGACTGTCTCACTTGCCTCAGTGTAGGTTCCTGTACGCTGTCAGGAATGGGTTTGTGATATTTCTGGTTTGACAGCTGTAGGCTTCCACAGTTTACTGCTGAGCATCAGTCTTGGTTTTACAGTACCCATCAACTTCCTGTGTTGGACTTTTATTTTGTACACTTCCACCCCGTTTGTGGTTTTGTTCCAGCTTTACCTGTGCTAACTACCTGCAGCTGTTTTCTATCAGTTTGCTCACCAGCCAGTTTGTGCTGTGCTTGTCTTGTCTATTTGTTGGACATTGGTTTCCCCATATCTGGTTAGTTGTCTGCTCCTTGCTCATCTCTCAGTGTCTGCATTTTGTTACTTCTTGTGTACGGCCCTTTGTTCCCTCCCTGTCAGCCTCAGATATACTGTCTGTATTGTTGCCTTATCTTCCTTGTGTCAGTCGGTTGTTACATTGAGTACAACACCTAAAAACATTAAAACACTTCAAAAGGAATAAAATATTTGAGACTGAATAAAGGTAGCCCCTCCTTGAACCGTCACCTTATTGTGGTGGAGGGGTTTGAGTACCCGAGTGATCCTAGGAGCTATGTTGTCGGGGGCTATATGTCCCTGGTAGGGTCTCCGAAGGCAAACAGGTCCTGGGTGACGGGTCACACTAAGAGGGGCTCAAAAAACCCCTTCTTAAATAAAGAACCATAATGTCGCCCGGCATGGTGCAGCCAGGGCCCAACCATGGAGCCAGGCCCGAGGTCGAGGCTCAAGTGCAAGCGCCTGGTGGCCGGGCTTCACCTCAC